CAGGAGTGACCAAGCAATAGTTTATTCTAACCTGAATCTTGTCTGCAACCTCTATAACATTTAGTCACTTGCTTCCTTCAAGAGCAAGAACATGATAAGCAGCAAATCTCAAAGTTCCTAGTGTCAACCGATGCCTTGTTCTGCGTTGAAGGGTGCATTTTTCTTGCATAATTGCGGCAGCATTCTCAGCAACTGAACTGTTTCATAGAGTGGATACTACACTTCACAACCTTTATTCTATAGGAAAACATGCAACTTCCATAAGGATACAACTATGAGAATTCATGAGTATCTTATTCTGGTTATCTAGCAAGTGCCATTTTGGAGGAGTGGGTGGGTAAGTAAAAGGAAATGTTAAAACTTTGAAAGCATGCAAACATCAATGATATCAAAAGCACTTCTAAACATGGAACTATAATTTTATGCAATACCGTGATGTTTGACACTAACTAAATGTTACACAATTAAATTTTATTGTCGAAAATATGATGAACAATCTAAACTCTAAAACTACAATATATTGTTGTATCACATTCTTTGCATACCACCATTTCTAACATTAACTTTATATATAGACATTCCAATCACCATCCCTTATTTATTAAGACTCGGGTGTTCTCGATTGAGGATATTGTTTCAATTCTTGAGAAGTTAATGATTGGAGATATCCTTTTAATTCCCAGAATGTTGGTGATCGAAGATACTCTTTCAATTCATGAAAATATCGTGTATATTAGGAGAGGTAGATTAACTTTGGGTTCCTAGCTTAGCTCTCCTACCAAGGCCACATAAAATTCCTCCATGAGCTAATGGAGAGGCCTATGCGCTTGTTCGGCCAGCATTTTTGTCAAACTTTCACAAGCCCACCACAATTTACTTTTCAACGCCATGAATTGGGTTTTGAACGTAGACTTGTCACTTCTCGCATTTCTCATTGTCTGTTCACTGCAATTCTTCTTTTTTATTAAAGCGTTTGTTTTAATTTTTCTTTTTACTTCATTACTAACGTTGTTAGTATACAAGCAAACTTGCTAAAAAAATTAAAATTATATACATACAACGAAAGTGCTACAATTGATGTCGACATACATACACATTTTTTTGTTGTTGTGCCATATAGTTGCGCACCCTGTCCTAGTCACTGTGCCAAATTTCAAGTGCATTCATTTTGGTAGCAATTTCATCGTCCTCATTTGGTAGCTCTGCCTCAGCAATGTTTGGATCTGTTTCTACCCTCGTAAAGGCCTTGTCAACTACTCCATCCTTTCGAATGAAGTTGTGAATACTCATTATTGCTAAGACAGCTATGGTTTATGTTCGAAACGAATAGTTCGACATATGGTCGAGGATTTTCCATCTCTGTTTTCAGATACTAAATGCAAGTTCAATTATATTTCCAAGTCAATGTGCAAATCTCAAGTCGATAAAACTTACTGCCAATGGGTTGCGGAAAATAAATGTCTGGGTGTGTATAGCATGAGCTAAAATGTGTTTATTGTGTGTATTTTTGGTTGTATCGGTCAGTACAAATGTTAAACATAAATTCAAATCACATGTAACCAATACATTTTGCATTGGTATTCATTTACATTCGATGAAGTTCACTCGTTCGTAACGTGACAAAATAGCCATAATGTGCGTTCCGTTAATCATATCGATGCAATTTTGGAATAATGGATGTTTGTTGGCATCCGTACTGGGGTGCTCTGCATTTATATTATAATTGGGATATGGTTTGATTAAAACTGCAGATAACATGAGAACGGCACCAAAAATCTCTTTGAAGTAATGCCCCAGCGTTGCAAAGAATGATTGAATAACATTTGGACCTGCCTATACCCATTTCTGTTGCTAGTCTGCCCAAGAACATTTCGTTTTGTTCATAAATGTCTACTTGTTAGCCAATGTTGAGACTATACTCATCACGAAAGATTTGTGTATAATGTTTTAGCATTAGTGGGTGCATTCGCAACTCCTGATAGCATATTTTTCCATCACCTTCCATTGTCTCTAACATAAACATATTATCATTTCTAGCAAACGAAAATCTACGAATACAATGTTGCTGCTCGCGATGGTAGTGCATCACGTCGTGTTTAGCGATTCGAAAATAATGAAGCCAATCTTTTATGTCCGCTACTAGCTCATTCAAATATGCCACCTCATCGATTTTGTCATCATCGTCTGAGTTCGACAAAAGATTACAATTGTAATTGAAGTCCTCTATGACCAAGATATAGCACTTCCTTTTGGATGACCAAAAATTTTCAGCAGTGAGAAAAGAAAAGAAATCACTAGTGATAAAATTGACTCTTGTTATGAGCAATGTGGCTATCAATGTTGCATTTTATAGACAATAGTAATGAGCAAGTGTATTTGAAAATGATGATGGTTTGGTTTAACTTCTCGATGAAAGGTGACAAGTCAAGTTTGATTGATGTGTATGTAAGAAAAGTATTGTACCTTTATTTTGTTGTTTGTTTATCAAAAACAATTTCAACACATGCAAAAGAATCTTGTGAGCTTTTGTTTAGTGTGCATATCAAGATCAAATCTCTCCATTCATGCAATGATAGTACAAGGATCTGGAAAAAATCATGTCCATATTCAACATTAAAATAAAAAAAATCAACACAAACATAATAAACGTAATTGGACAAACCGACATCCTATGAAAAGATTTCAATGAGCAAGTTTGTCCTTCACATTTCACTTAATTTGTGACTTACTGTGCTCGTTGAAATTCCACTCCACCCATTCAAACTTTTCATCCGCATTTTCCATGACTTCAAGCATGTCCCTATTACTCTTATGTGCCAGTAGCGTACAAGGGTAATAGTACAATTTAGTTTTTTAAATGAGCCTTCCAGTTACCAACAACTCCTCGACTCATTGCAAGTCGGACTAATGATGTTGTTTATCTTCACCGCAATCAATGGAGAAGGATAACTCGCGTACCAAATTTTATTCTTTTCCTTATCCTTCTTCGTTGCAAACTTTCATTTGTCATCATTTCAAGCAGAGACACATCCATGCTAGATTTACCTTTATCGTCTTCTGCCTCATCACTTGAGTTGCTGCTCTCGATGTCTACTGAGATCGCGTCCCTGTGGTCTTCAAAACCAGCTTCTTTGAACAAGTCAAATCCAGTTCTACATAGTTTCATTGCGGTGATGCCATACTTGTTGTCGTCGAATGTGTCACTGAAGAGTGCTCAGTATCAAATATAAATCTCGGAGACGTCACTGTCCTTGAAGTCCTTGTAGCCTTTGTTCTTCTACATCAATTTCACGACATTGAAAAATGAGATTGTCATGTGTCATACATTATTCATGATGGCAAGTATACTGCCCAATGTACCATTTTTTCCATTCTCAATCGTCCATGCTAAATTTATCTCTAGATTTTGATGTGAAACAAAGATGAAAACATTATCAACTGATGTCACCCACATGGTATAGTTCTATTTGCATATGGTGCCAATTTTATTCTTGGCAATCATTCTGTGAATTTGAAACTTATAAAAAAAACCATAAAAGTCGAATTGACAAAAACGATGATGTCAATTTAATACCAGTGTGTTATTTACCATAGTTACAGCTTCCTGTGAAATCAAATTGACAATGCAAAGAAAAACATTACGATTATTGAAAAACACATAGAGAACAGAAGATTAGTAATACTCCAAAAAGGCTATCTTGTATTGAGTTAATCACGCAGTATCCACCACCCAACAACTCACCGCTTAGTAATACTCCCAAAAAAGCCATCTTGTTCTTGCTAAAATATCAGAACACAACAGGGGAAAAATATGTTGACACAAATACATAGTACATCGATAATGCCGCTCTAATTCCCTTCTGCACAATCTATTGGGACAATAAACTAAGGTTTACACAACTCTACTACAACAAAAATAATCTTTTACAACGTTCAAAAAATGTTGTCGATGAACTTTTGCAACGTTTTTGATTATGTTGCAAACCTTAATATTGTCGTAGAGTAGAAGGATACGACAACGTTTATTGAGTGTTGCCATAACCTTTTTACAATGTTTTTTGGATGTTACGAATAACATTTTCCAATGTTTTTTGAGTGTTGTCAAAACCTTTTTGCAACGTTTTTTAAACGTTACGAATAATATTTTTGCAACGTTTTTTTAGTGTTGCCATAACCTTTTCGCAACGTTTTTTGAACATTGCTAATAATTTTTTCATAACATTTTTTGAACGTTGCTAATAACATTTTGCAATGTTTTTTGCTTGTTTATGCTTATATTTTTATTTTTTCAATATTTTTTTTATTGTTGTCATATGTCATTTTACAATTTTTTTTTTAAATTTTA